TCTTCCCACCCCTGATGTCTTCAGTTTAAAGCCCTCCTAATCAGGTTCGCAAGTCTTCCAGCAAAGACATTCCTCCCACCTGTCGCCAACAGTTCTTCATGTCGGAGGTACATACCATGGTTCAGGAAGCCAAATCCCTCTCGACGGCACCATCTACATAACCAGCCACTCACCTCCAGTATCCTGTTCTCCCTTCCATCTCCATGGCCCTCAACAGGTAAAATGGAGAAGAATACCACCTGCACCCCCAGATCTTTCACCTTCTTGCCCAGAGCCTCGTAGTCTTTGGAGATCCATTCAAGGTTTCTTCAGGCTGTATTGTTTGTTCCCACATGGATCAGCAGGCTGCCTTTCCCCATTTATACCCCAGAGAGGTATAAATCACTATGGTGACTCTTCAATGTCCACGTCAAGGATTCTGTTCATTTTCTTCCATAACTTTCAGCTCCAGGAAGATAACAAGCCTCTCGAGAGTCTGGAAGTAAGGCTAGTCACTGGAAGTAAGGCTAGTCAACCTCATTCCCTCTCCATGCCCATATTTTCGCTGCCTGCAAAGAACTTGTGACTCTGTATTTGGAAACAAAATTATGATGCATCACTCCAGAGAAATGTGCAGTGAGACCCTTCAACATACTCATAACTGCATGGCAAAACCTGTGATTTTTAAAGAAATAAACTTGTTAGGGAAATAATATAAAATCCCTTAGGTTAGCATACTTGTCAGCTTATCTACTCTTTTACTGTCCTGATTAAGCTTCCAGCATTATGAAAAGAAATATCTACATATAACATATGAACTGCACCTGCATATGTGTCTGAATTATTTCTGACGCTTTGCTCCTTGGCAGGAAGTCTAGAATATAAGGCTATGGAAAATAGCCATAAGAAAAAAACCATAAGAACCGAAAGCTGCTAAAAGGAATTCTAACCCATAGGGTTAGAATAGGTTGATAGCCAGTGTAGTTGAGCAGTTGTTGCCCATTTTGATAGCTCATTATTCTATGACAGTTATTGGCTGGGTATCTTTTTTAAACAGCATGACATATAATTGGTTTTCCTGGACAGTTATAAATTCCATCCAGTGTCTCTCTGACAGGTATTTATAATCATTAATCAGTCAACTAATTGCTTATTGGCATTCTTTTATTCTACGCACAGTTTGAGCTGAAGTTTAACTTGACTAGCAGTGATAAACTTGTAAACAGGCTTGCAAAGAAGGGTTCTTCCTAAATCACCCTCTAAAATCTCTCAGACTTTTTGTGATGTTAACACACAATTAGTGGATAACACAGCAAATCCAAGAAACATCTGGTTAAAAACCATGTTGATACATGGCACTGATTCCCAACCTCTTTGCTAGCATTCAATCATATGGTGAATTGGGCGTAGACTGGAATATCTCTGCATAGGATTATACTATAGGTGTGTGGCATGGCTGAAGTTATTTTTAGATTTTTTTAAAAAAATACTCTGCCTTTGTTTGTGGATTAAGTTAGAAGGAGTAGAGGTGTCTAGAATGAGTGATGGCAGGAATAGATGGATTCTTTGCAGATCTTGGACAGCACGTACTCTAGCTTTCTTTAACAGATGAAAATCATGAACCATGCAGAAATTTAATTTTTGAGGTTACTTATCAATTGAATGGCAGATTTTGAAGCAAAACATTACTTGTGTCAATTTATACAAATGTCCTCTGCTTAATCCCCAAGTGTCAACACTAATCAGTTCAACAGGTAGGATATCAATTAAATACATTATGAGACGGGGATGGAATTCAAGATTGTAATTCTTTTCAGCCTCTGCACTTTTTCTTCATAATTATAGCATGCCATTTCCCCATGTTGGACAAGATGTGTTGATTCAGTAAGTTACTGGTGGAGTGGTTGCCCCTAGAGGACCATATTAAACCTTGAATGGAGCATTTTGAGTAACATTGCTTGTTAGAGATAATATATCACTCCAATAGTACATGGTTATTCTGTTAAGAATGTGGCAGGGAAATTGCTCCTAATTACTGTTTGGACTAAAGAGAGACAACAGGAAAATATTTCCTAAAATCACTTCCATTTATTAAGGGTTTGTGAAATACTTCATTTATTGTGGGTAATCAGTAGACATTGGATCTGTAGCTGAAGGTGATCTGTTGTTTGGGAAGCATTTGATGGTTTTAATGATCACCATGTGACCAATTTTATAGAACACCTTTCTAGTTATTGCCCGACAGAGACTACACCAAAGTGCTTTGTTCCTTTAGAGTGCAATCTTGTGTTCTCTTTGTGCACTTCCAGAAATTATGTTCAGGCAACCTTTAATGCAATGTTGGCCAGCATGTACCAAAAAAAAAGGTGATTTCTGCTGGACTGACATGGAAGAAATGTATTCTCAATTGTTGACCTTTATTTTGAAATTGAAATATTTGAGTGATTTTTTTTTATTCTAGTTACTAGATATGTGTTGTCAAGGTATGAAAGAATGTTGATTATTAAAACAAAAGACCAGTATCAACTTAAAGACTAACAACATTCATTCCAACACCAAGTTTTGGGCTCATTTTTTAAAAAATTAAACAGCGACTATGGTGACTCTTCAATGTCCACATCAAGGAATTCTGTTCATTTTCTTCCATAACTTTCACATAAACTTTAGAGGAAAGAAAAATATATAACACAAAGCTCCATTAGAGAGTAATCAATATCAAATGTAGTATAATTATTAAAGCATAGAAATCCAACTCTGCTGATGTACCTGTGCAGGCTGTGAAAAAATTATGTTGCACTCTTGTGATTTGTCTATATACTCTCAAACAATACTCTCTAAACTCGGTTCCTACTCATGAAATGGGAACCCTGATGAAATCAGTGAAGGTTAGTGTCAGATGAGAACTAACCCATTACAGATATATGGTATAGAATTGCTGAAATCTTATCCATTTAGTATATAAGAATCTCAGTGTTTACAGGAAAAATACCACAGATGGAATTATTGTAAGGATGTAAGACAGAAGAGAAGAGAGAATAAATTGGATTTATACCCCATCCTTCACTGGGAGTCTCAGAGCGGCTTACAAACTCCTTTCCCCTCCCCTCCCCACAACAGACACCCTGTGAGGTAGGTGGGGCTGAGAGAGCTCTGACAGAAACAGCTCCTTCAAGAACACCTCTGACAGAACTATGGCTTGCCCAAGGTCATCCAGCAGGTGCAAGTGGAGTAGTGGGGAATCAAACCCGGTTCTCCCAGATTAGAGTCCATGCACTTAACCACTACACCAGACTGGCTATGGTGGTATTTATATACAAAGTGCTAGATGGAGGAGAGGGCTGAGATCAAAAGTGTGCCATGTCCACACTCAAAACATTTCATGCAACCAGCAGAGTTTCCCAGGTTTTTTTTGTCTCAGTTACTTCTCCTCCTGTTTGCTTCTCAGACTATTCCCAGAGGTTGCCCAAATTTCAAAAGAGGCTGTTGATTGGTATAAATGCCTGAATGCAGAATAAAGAAATGTAGAGCCCTACTGTGTGAACGTCTGACCTAGATAGCCCAGGCTAGCCTGATCTTGTCAGATCTCAGAAGCTAAGCAGAGGTGTCCTGGCTAGTATTTGGATGGAAGACCAGCAAGGAATACTGTGATGGCAAACCACGTCTGAACATCTCTTGCCTTGAAAACCCTTTGGGATTGCCATAAGTCAGCTGTGACTTGAGGGCACTTTCTATCACCATTGTGTGAACAGAAGCTGCCCATCTGATCCCTTGGGCCTTGAACCATACATGAACTCCTCCTGATTGCAAAGGCACAAATTAAATGTAATATTTTAAAAAATATCTTATAGTAAAAAAAGACACAACTCATAAGGTTTGATTCAATGGTGATTTCAGCTGATTTTCTCCTTCCCCTGTAGACCTCCATATTGCTCCCAGTGCTATCTTTTGGGTCCCTTGAATCTTAGGGGAAGAGTGAGGGCATTGTAGGCTACAGTGAGAGGGAGAAGATGGGAAAGCACCATTACTTTGGATGCAAGGCATTGTCTCAATTTGAGCCATGTAACAATTCTAACTTTAGAGGGAAGTTGCCATGTAAACTGAAACTCATTCACAGCCACACATAATGGTTAAAGTTTAGTGAAGAATTAAGAACCTAGAAGGTTAAATGAATCCAAATTAGAGGGCCCAATATTAAAATAGCTGAATGTAGGACATAAATATATCAATTATACAAAAATACATGTATTTATGATAGTTTAAAAACTGTTACAGGCCCCAATATAGCCTCAATTCAAATTAAAACCATACAGTAATCTCAGACATAGACCTTATGCGACCCTGACCAAACGTGTTTTGGCCTAATGGCCTTCTTCAGTAGTCAAGCATAGTTATTACACATTAGCTCCAGACATTGCAATAATATTACAATAAATAGTCGATATAGGACCCAGTTAGGGTTGTGTACTAATCAATACCCATGACTCAAGGCAGAGATGTACTTAAGAGGCCTCATTTGAAATCACTTTCTGCCCTAGTCAGGTACACGCTCTTAATTCATTATTTTGGGTTAAGTTTTCTTCCCCCCCCTTGTCCTTTTTAGGTTAAGGTTTAGCATACAATTGTTGACTACATCAGAAATGGTAGTCTGTTCTTCTTTCTTGCCTGGGAGCACTGATCTATTGCACTGTCTTATGTCAGATAGTAGTCGTAGTAAGTGTGGAACGGTCAGTCGCAATTTCAGATACTGAGGTGGATAGCAGAGCAAGTTTAAGAATGCTGAAATCATTTTGGTGTCAGGGGAGACGGTTCAGAACAGACATACGATGATAATGGCATTGCAATGGAAAGCACAAAGCACAATAGAGCTATAATGCAAAAGATGTTGAATTAAATGGACCATGCTTACATTGCTGTTGATCTTCAGGAACAGTTTTTCCAGTGTATGGAGCATTTTGATTCCATCCAGCATATGTTCTCCACATTTTTCTCTGCTCTAATTCATCCATTTTTTTCCCCGACAGCTCCAGATGGCATGTTGCCTCCAAGGCTTTCATCTGCCATGCCGACCAGTCTTCAGGTTGTCTGGTCTACACCAGTTCGGAACAATGCTCCAGGCTTACCCAGCTACCGACTCCAACTGAGACCCAAGCACTCCCCAGAAGACATTCTGGAGTATGCAGATAATATACTCTATACTGATTGTGCAGACACATAAAATGATCTGGAAGATGGCTTAACTCAAGGGTGGCATTTCTGTGCATGTATAACCTTCCTCCCTTGTTTTTAAAATTATTGTAATTCATATTTTGTTTTAGGTTGCTTTCCAAACCTTCAGCTTCTTTAAGCCACCTAGTCGTGGATCTGCAGCCATACACTACATATGAGATGAGGGTGATTGCCTACAATAAATATGGTGATGCATACAGCGAATGGATTTCAATGGTTACAGCAGAAGACAGTAAGTTGTTTGTGGATGTAAACAGTATACTTCGATTACTTAAATATTCACACACATTATTTTCAGCTCTGCCATCCCTGGTAGCTTAACAACAGTAGTATTTCTCAGGGATGTCCACAATGCTACTCTGAATCTAATAGAATTCCTGAACAGATTAAGGCTGCATTTCTAAACACACTTAACTAGAAGTAAGCCCTGCCAAATTCAGTGGGATTGACTTTTGAGTACATGGGATCATACAGTCATGCCCAAATTCAGTGGGATTGACTTTTGAGTAAATATACATGGGATCATACAGTCATACCTCTCCTGAATACAGCTAAATTTAAAGCCTAGAATATGAGGAGGAATACATTTTAGCCTATACCTTGGTCATATTTTTATTTCATGTCTTGTTTTCAAACCCTGGATATCATGGGCTTAATTTAGTGGTCAGTTAGGGTTTGCTTTCATAGACCTCTCACCTACCGTTAGAGATGTTGCTCTGATCTGCCAGAGGCAAAACTGAATGATGAATTTGTGGTTCTGCTTGTGGAATAATGAGTTGATTATTTGTTTTATTTACTTTTGCGTACTGGGTTCGACACATAGTGAAGACAGATGCTCACTGATTAACAGCTCATAGTTTACTGGTACACAACACAACAACCAGGGTTGGCACACCCACTAGGTGAACTAGGCATTCACCTAGAGTGTGGGCCGGCCCTAGGGGCACCAAACAGGACCCGCCCCCCGCCAAAGCCCCCCAGCCCCTGCCAAAAGCAGGCTGCATGATCTCCTAGTGGCTTCCCTGACCGGGTGACAGCCTGGGGCTTCCGGCTTTCCCCCACCATTTTTTTTTAAACTAGGCGATATGCGCTCGGGCGAAGCTTCGCCCTGAGCGTTTTTTTTTTAAGTGTGAAGAGCTGCCTATCTCACTAGGGTTGTCTTTGAAGCAAAGGGGTGAGGTTGGAAACACAGAGCTTCGTTGCTTCTGAACAACCTCAGAATCGGACAACAACCGCCATGTGGTCAGTAGTCCATTTTTATTGAGGTGAACTCCCGGGTAGTGTTTTAACACAGCTGACCCTGGTACTCCGTTCTCCTCAACCGATTCCTCCCCGGCTGTCAGCAACTTTCTCTTTATTATTCCACTGAACTTCTGACCCCTGTTGCTCAAAGGCCAATTGTGGGCCGTCTGACCCGTCTCTGGGCACCATATGTCCCTCGAGAATCCCCTCTATGTTCCCGGGTTCCCTCCCATGTACCGCCCTCCTTCTTGGTCGAGCTCTCCCAGCTGGCATTAACCCAACCTTGTCCCCTATACATTGATCTGGCTCGTGGGTTGTTTGCCCTCCCTCGCATCGCTGGATAGTCAGACTCCCCGGAGTACTCGGAGCCTGACAAAAGCCCTTAGTTTAACTTCTCGGAGGAAGCAAGTGCCACAGTCCAGCAAGCGAGTGCAGCCAGCGAGTGCCAGTCCCTGACTCCTGCCGCTGCCTCTTTCTCTCCCCCACCCCAAAGCATGCTGGACCTGCCCCCTGCCCGCCCTCCCTACTTCCTTTCTGGGCGCTTGATCTCCCAGGGGCGCAGCGAGGCCCCTGCTGCCGCCCACCTGCCACCAGCCCAGAGTGCCTCTTTCTCTCCCCCGGCCCTCAGCATGCCGGACCTGCCCCTGACCACCCTCCCTACTTCCAGGTAGCGGCAGGAAGGTGCTGCCAGCAGCTCGGGAGCCATCTCCCAAGGCAGCTCAAAGGCAGCTGGCGGGAGCACAGCAGAGGGACCCCCAGTTTCCAGCCAGCCCTCCAGCAGTGGGGGATTGTCACAGAGCTCACAGAGGCGCCCCACTGGCCCAGCAGCAGCCAGCTTTTGAACCGGGCCACGATCCCACCCCCCGCTGGAGGCTCCAGTCGGAGCGGAGGAGCAGCCCCTTCCCGGCTTTGCCAATGCCAGTGTCCAGCAGACTGCACGTGCTCAGAGGCACCCACGCCCCGCTGGCCCAGCAGCAGCCAGCTTCCCAACCACGGCCAGCCAACGGTCGACAGTCCCTCGCAGACAGTCCCAGCCACAGGAAAGTAAGTGCTGCCTTTTCATTGGGGTGGTGGTGGTGGCGTGGGGGGGCAAGCTCCAGGCTTAGCCCCCAGCCCGCACACAAACTTTCCACCTTGCACTGAGTGACTGAGGCACCCCAGAGAGGGATGTCGCTGCTGCCGTCCTCCTCCTTCTCTGTGCCTCTGAGCGCCCAGGATGCCTTCCCCTCTGCGCACAGTTGGAGTGGGGCAAAGGAGGTTTACAGGGGTCAGAAGGTGTGACTTCCAGGTGGCCTTGAATGCCAGCTTTAAAAAGGTACTGCTGACCCACCACGGGGGGGACGGACCTTTCCTTGCTCAGATGCCCTGAAGTGGGAGGGGAACCTGGGGAGGGATCAGGTAGCTCAGTTCAAACCAGAGGTGATTTGGACTTCTTTAGTGCTCTGTTTATGCTGATAAAGAAGGTGTCAGTTTTTGGCTGCCCTGGTGCACAAAGAGGGGGATGTGTTGTGCAGTTGTCTGGGGTCAGTGTGCAGTATGCCCTTGTGTGCCTTCTTCCCCAGGGATTCTGCTGTGGAGGGTATCCGGTGTGTGTAAAAGGGTGTGCGTAAAAGCTATTGCTCATGTTTATTGTTATTATTATTATTTCCTAAAATGCATTTATGTTTGACAATTGGGGGGCGCACGGGGGGGGGGGGCACCAGAAGGTAGCTTTGCCTAGTCTGCAAAAAACTCTGGAGCTGGCCCTGACAACAACACAATACTGCCCGGGGCGGCCAACTATATACAGTCCCGGGGGCACACCCACCAGTCCCAATGGAAGGTTTGAACCCCCCCCCCACAGTTCTGATAGGTGCTAACTGGAAGGCTCAGGATCCTAGTCCCTATTGTCCTTACGGAGCCAAGTGCGGGCCGCATACCGCTGGTGCCTAGTGGCGGTCAGTAGATATAATATTTACTTTATTTGTATTCCGCCTTTCTCCCCGGTGGGGACCCAAAGCAGCTCACATCATTCTCCTCTCCTATGTTTTATCCTCACTGCAACCCTGTGAGGTAGGTTAGGCTGAGGGTGTGTGACTGGTCCATGGTCACCCAGCAAGCTTCCTTGTCATAACTGGGGATTTGAACCTGGATTTCCCAGATCCTAGCCTGGCAATTTATCCACCACACTGGCTCTCCCATGAAGTTACTGAAATCCTTCTGCAGCCTCCATTATTGAAGAACCCCCCTGCTCATGTACAGAGGAAAGAGGGTTTGTGATGGGCATTAAATCCACTGGTGGGCATTAAATCCAAAGGTAGAATGAAGAATCTGGAATCCAATTTGGATTTTGGTGGATAATTTAGAAGCCTGATTGAATCCAAAAGGGAAAATAAGGACCCATCCAATTTAACCTGCTAAATTTACTCAGGAGTCTTTGGTGAGGAACTTTATTTAAAAAATTGGAAATCCAAGTATATTTGTTACTACCTTTGGTGAACTGTACAAGGTTGTTATGATGGGTCTTCCCTTTGCAGGTCATGCTGTTCCTTCCTCAGTAGTACTTTTTCCTGTTAGCCGAATTGCTTTATCTACAGCAATTGGCAATTTAGATGGGTTCTTGCCAATGTCTACCAAGGTCCAGTTCCCACCAAGGGTTACCAGTAAAAGGAGTCGAGGCTGGTGTTGTTCAAAATAACTGTCTTTTACTTAAGAAAATATAAATCACATACAAACAATACTGATGCATGCACACATTCAATCAAGGTCCTTAGAAATACAGAATTAAAATAAGCACTTTTGCATTAGCAGGTAGGGTGATGATGGGTGATACTTCTCTGTCCTGAAGCTTTGTTCGTTCCAATGAAGAATGGATGGGAAGAAAATAGAATCTAGGGAAGTTTAACACACAGCTAGAACCAGCCAGCATGTGTGGGTCTCTTGGCTGCAGATCAAGAGGTCAAGTAGAGGCAAGGGTTTGGGTGTAGAAAGCTGGACAGAAGGGGAGTTAAAGCAGACAGGGGGTGTTGCGGGGATTGTGGCTAGCAAGGGCCACGTTAAGAGTTAAGACTCTTGTTTTAATCCCCCCCAGTTTATTGTTTTATGATTTACGATTTTTCTGCAAACCTGGGGTTTTCCCTAAATTTGTAGGATGATCATCCTCTTCTGTATGTGGCCCTAATCCATGGTTTTAACAATCCACCTGGATTTAACAATCCAGATTTAGATATGATGTCCAGAACTAGATATAATGATATTGTGGCTTTCGAGAAGGGATGCTTATAGTGACAATTTGCATATTATCATTAGGGGATCAAGAATGTCATATCTGAGTTAAGAAATATTTGGGTATATGCAATCCAGATTGGGGGGGGGCAACTATCCCCCAAGAAGTTTTCCTCCAGCCTAAGAAACTTTTCTCCATTTTATAGCTCTTCTTCCAATGGTAGAGCCACTTCAGTTGGAGGAAAGCTCCTTAGGCAGGAGGAAGGCTTTGCTCAATGGAGTGGTAGGACAGGAATAGGATCTACTCCAGGGACCTGGTTTTTTGTTTTTAATTTATTAACTGGCTCTAGAAATTCATCACCCTTTTTTCACTAAGTTTTTCAGATGCCCTCCCTGAAGACAGCCATTCTAGAGTGGGTAGCAGCCTTATGGTTTCCATGATGAAGAAAGATGCAAAGAATTAATTGGCTTTTCAGAAATCTCTTGTCTTCCTTTAAGGGTCCTCTCATTGCTTTGTCATCCAACGGCTCATCTATTTCCTGGCTGGTTTCCTGTTTTTTAAATTTAATATTTAAAGAAATTCTTATTTATGTTGCAGTCCTTGGGTGGTTCACCCCCTGGCCTCAGAGAGCACCGTCTCTGGCTTAGAAGGCTCCCGGGGGTGGGTGGGGGTGGGCTGAGCCTACCACAGTAAGGGGAGGCTCACCTTATCACCAGCTGCATACTTAATGCTCAAGCTGGTCCTTCTACTTCTTGTAGGTTAGGGATTATTTAGCAACAGAAGTT